GTGGAGAAGGGTTCCTTTTTCCCCACAGCCTCTCCAACATTTGTTGTTGGGTGATTTCTTTTATTTTTTATTTATTTTTTTTTTTTCTATTTCTTTTTTTAATCATTGGCACACAGTATCAAACCCAGGGCCTGACTCAGACTAAGAAAGCATTTTATCATTGAGCCATATCTTTAGCCCAAAGTTGCATTTCTCATTGCTAGTGTATTTTTTCTTAACTTTTTATCTTATTTGGAATAACTGTTTTGAAATTGCCAAACCCAAAATCTGGATTTAGTATCTGAATTTTGAGCATTTATTCTTGAATATTTTTTAATTTCTCAGGTTAAAAAAAGTGGTGGTCAATGTGCTTAAGAGTAAATGCACAAGGGCTGGGAAGATGGCTCAGTAGAATAAGCACTTGCATGGCAAGCATAAGGGCCTGAGTTCAATCCCTGATTCCTCCAAGAAAAAAAAAAAGAGTAAATGCACAATCCAAAATCTGGATCTACCAGGGTCACTTTATATCAATTACTTTTTTCCCCAGGTGTGAATTACATTTCTTGCTCTTTGTATATCTACTTTTGGTTGAAAATAGACCATTCAGATAATGTGATAGAGCAGCTTTGAGCTGCTTTTTGTTGTAGTAGTATGTGTGGACTTAACTACAGAATCTTTCTCTCTGTATAGAGTTAGTAATGTTTTTGTTGAGTTTTTACATTTTAATTTTTAACTTGACTTTTAGTAATTGCCTCTGTATCTAGGAGTTTAGAGGTCGGCAGTTGTCTGGGTAGAGGTTATATCCAGAAGCTTTGAGATCCTACAGTGTTCATCATCTGTAGATCATCCACTGGGATAAGGAATATGTTCCAACACAGCCAGCACTTGAATCTTCTGGGATCTTTTTCTTCTCATTCTTTTCCCTAGAATGTTCTGAGGTTTTCCCAGCACATGTGTGGTTTCACAGTTTGCTAGTGATGACTAGCGAGTTTATTTTTGCCTTCTTTGGATTACTCCCTTCCAAGATTTCCCTGTGAGATGTCTGACTTGTTGCAGCCCAACTCCAGTTGAAGCCATAATATTCAGCTACTGAAGTTCCAGGCCTTGCTCTGAATCAGGGGCACTGTTTGTAACTGGCAGTACCTGTAAGTTCTGGCAGTCTTCCAGTAGCACTCGCCTTGAGTCAGATCTTCCAGGCAATTTTCCAGTGTTGGCCTTAAGTCTGTAAAGCTCTGGTTTTTCTCAACTGAGATTGAAGGTAGCAAGTTGCTGTCTCAGACTAGAAGGTCACTGTTAACCACCACTTTCTTACCTAATTAAAACATACTCAAGTAGGTGCTCAGTTTGTTGTCTGCCTGTGGTCAATTTCTAGTTGATCCGAAGTGTTTGGTTTGGGGTTTTTGAAATTTGTTTTTATTTTCTTAGAATTTCAAAATTATACCTTATTCCACCATGACAAGTCCTTTTTATATTACTGTGATGGCTTGTGTCTAGATGTCCCCCAGAACCTCAGGGGATCATAGGTGGGGCTTTTCAGAAGTGTCTGAATCTGGGGTGTGTGATGCTGGGATTAAGGGTGTGTGGTTATTAAATTGGTCCGCTCGTTGGCTTGGCATAGTTCTGGGTGTGGCTAAGGGGTAGGCCACCCTGGGGGACAGTGCTAGCTGTGCTGAGGCTGTGTAGCAGGGGTGGAATGTAAGGACAGAGAGAGGCTGCTCCCATCGCCTGCTGCGTGCCACGGCCCTGCTGGCTGCCTTTGCCTGCCCTGTGTTGCCATGAACTGTTTCTCCTCTACGATGCCCCTCTGCCCGGCCAGCCTGCCTTGGAGCCAGCTAACCGTGAGCTAAAGTGAACCTTTCCTCCTTTAAGTTGGGGTGTTGAGTATTTTGTCTCAGCAGCAAGAAAGGCAACCAAGACCATTAGGTTTTTAAAACTTCATGTAAATGCCGTCATAATGTGCATCCTTCTGCACCTGTCTTGTTTCCCTTATATGTATGAAATTTATCCCAGATTCATCCATGTATAGATTTTCACTACTAGTTTGTATACAAGTGTGAAAGTATCAGTTTATCTGTTTCCCACAGGTTGAAATTAAGGCTGTTGAAACTGGCCTTTAGCATTCCTTACATTTAAATGTTTTGAAGGTTTAGAGCTTTTCTTGGACTGAAGGCTTTTTCTTTAGTTTTTTACCCCTTTCTCTCCTGGTTTGGAAGTAGTATAGTCTTTTTTTTTTTTTTTTTTTTTTTTTTTTTGATAGCAACTTTAGAATTTTATTCCACGTATTTGACTCAGAGTTTGAGATTGATTAATATCTCGGCCTTCTTCCTGAATAATACAAGAACCTTAGGCCAACATGAAGCCAACCGAATGGCCCTTAAATGTTATCAGATACTTTATTTTTTTCCCTTTGTCTTTTTAAATTCTGAATTTAATGACCAGCATTACTGCTATTTTTAGTTCACTGTGCATGTTACTCAGGTACTTTGCTCGCCTCTCCTCACACCTTCAGCGGGCACAGGCGCCATCCCGAGCTGTTCTGTAGAAGTCACTGCAGTGTGCGCTGCTGGGAGCCGTGGTCTCGTTTCTCTGAAAGGTTCTTCATCTGACCTTTTTCTTCCATGACAGCTTTAGCCAGTTTTGTTCTGTTTACTCAGTGCTTTCAGATAATAATCTGCTCTTTCAGCATTTGGGGTGGCTGTGGGGGAGGGGCCGTTTTCTGTCTACCAGGCCCTTTATGGGTAATTTGACATTTTCAATGCTTTTTACCATTGATGTTCACTATATGCTCTATGGTACATCTGTGTAAGGACTTGTTTTCTTTCTTTGTGGCTTATTCCTAAATTTGAGAATTCATCTTTCAAAAATTTCTGTTATATTTCCATTTCTGTATTCCTTCTTAAAGGAATTTATTGTTTCTTCCTATCTCATGTTTATTTGTTTTTGTTGTATTTTGGAAATTTTTCTTCAGATGTAATTTTTAATTATTTTACTTTCTTTTTTTTTTTTTAATCTTTTTGAGACAGGGTCTCACTATGCATGCAGTTCAGGCTGGCCTTGAGCTTGCTTTGTAGCTCAGGCTGGTCTTGAACTCCCAAGGATCCTCCTGCCTCAGCCTCAGCAGTGCTGGGATTATAAGCATGTGCTACCACACTCGGCTTAGTTTTTAATTCTGTAGTTCTCTCTTAAACTATGTTTGCTATTTAAATTCTTTTCATTTTCTCTTTGTCAGTGGCCATTCCATTTTGGAAGTTCTGTTTATTTTCACATATACTTTAATTGCATAATTGTTTTCAGCAGTATTTTCTTTCCTTTCTTTCTTATTCTGTTTTTTTCTTTTGAAAGTTTTAAAACCAAAGTTACACTTTGGTATGTCCTTGCTTTATTTTGTGTGGGAACAAAAGGGTGTTTTGTTCATTTCATCTTCAAACCTAATTTCTCGTTGTCTTTGCTGTTTACTACCTTGTCACTCTTTGTTAGTGGATGGATGAAAATGATCCTGCCAAAGTCTAGTCTGAGAACAGTGTTAAAGGGCCCTAGAGTTCCTGTGGAACAGTAGCTTCCAAAATGGGTAGGAAAATGATCTATTGCATGCTTTCTTTTGTATATTGGTACACATTTGTAATTTATAAATTAATGCATTTACTTTCAGACATAAATGTTTATTTTGAAATAATGTACCTTTAGAATAAAGTCTTAAAATTATCACTAATGAAGAAAAAAAGTAATTCTTATGCTCTAGAGCTGCACCATCTCGCAGAACCTTCTGCAGTGACAGAAACAGTCTCTGCACTGTCCAGCGTGTTAGCCACTCGCCACTGTGGCTTTATTTATGTGTTCGATATGTGGCTAATGTGAATGAAGAACCAATTTTTTTATTTTATATTTTCTTTAGTTTTTAATTAAATTTAAATAAGTACGTGTGGCTAGTAGCTACTGTGTTCCACAGCATAGACCTAGAACAGCCTGGGGAAAGATGTGGTCTGAATAAGAGCTCTTACTTCAGTGCTGACAGGTATCTGATTCTGTACTTAGTGTGTTCCACACGGTTAGTCCTTGTAACAACCTTGGAGGTATAAGAAGGTAAGTAACTTGCGGAAAGCCCTACTGAATCAGAAAGAAGCAAAGGCAGGTTCGAAGCCCAGTTCTGATGCTCACCCAGCCCCTGTCATGGAACTTTGCTGAATTCTAACCAGGGGAATCCAAGTACCGCCTCGGCTCCGAATCAGGACCTGCCTCTTCCCCCTGCGTACCTTCAAAACTTTACTGTTCCAGTCCCACTCCCCTAATTTGTTTTCAGTTGCCAGAATTTTCAGGTATATTATTCATATGAAATAAGTGAAAATAGGAGCTCTGCTTTATAGGTTTAAAAAAATGCAGAGGTAGTCTACGAGTGATCAGTAAAAATGGAAACTTGAAATGGAGCACTCAAGCCTGTGCTGGGCAGTGCAGTCCTATCAGAGTGAGGATTCCTTAATATCAATGTAACAGCTATAAAAGTTGAATTAGGCCTTTAGCACAGTCTTCAAGCAGTATGGCTTTCATGATGTTTTGACTTCTTTGCTCTTTATTTTCTAGTGCTCGCCAAAAACCCAGAACTAATTATCTAGAACTAGACCGAAAAAATGGATCAAAGCTGATTGTTTTTGTAATTGGAGGAATCACATACTCTGAAATGCGTTGTGCTTATGAAATTTCTCAGGCATATAAATCCTGTGAAGTTATTATTGGTAAGATTTTTGTTTTTCTCTTTTTTAATTTTAAAAACAAATTTTCAATGCACAATTATATATAAATTCTATATTATGTTATATATTTAAGACCAAATTATTGAATGCAAAAATTCCTTATCCATAAAAATGTGTTTTATCGGATTTGTTGAGATTTTTTTTCCTGCTTGATCTTTATTATTTATTTTTTTAATTAAAAAAAAATCTATTGTTATTTATTTGGTACAGGGTCTTGCTACACAACTCAGACTCTTAGTGATCCTCTTGTCTCAGCCTCCCCAGTGCTGGGGTTACAGGTGTGCTGCACCATGTCTGGTTTCAGAGGTCGGCATGGCATGTGGTACCAGGGATCAAACCCAGGTCCTTGTGCTTGCCAGGCAGGCACTTAGACACTATCTCCCCAGCCCCTTCTTTATTATTTTATTATTAAATATTCTGAGTTGGAGAAATCAGCTTATTCATAATATTTTATCCTTATCCTATCATTTTGTTTGCTCTGATCATTAAATAATTATTGACATAAATAACATTTTTACTTCAGAAAGATTTTTGATTTTTGTGGGCAGATCTGACACTGGTAAGACCTGTATGGAACAGAGTATTTTTTTTTTACATTTATTTAGTGTGTGTGTGGCCAGCTCAGCCCACCAGGGGGCGGGGCTGGCTGGCATGTGGTGCTGGGAGATCGAACCGCGGTCTCTGTGCTTTGCCAAGCTTGTTCTAAGTAGGTGCTTTAGACCACTGAGCCATCTCTCCAGCCCGGAACTGAGTATTAAGAATGTCAGTCAGTGCCTTTGATAGGCTCGTCTGACCAGGGAGGTGCGGTTTGTATGTGGTCTTGGTCTGCAGCATAGCTAGAGGTTCTGTTACCGAAAGACACGGTGGTGATCCCTAGGAAGAAAAGTCCTCCCAGCTTTGCTTTCAGTGTACTGATTAACATGCAGCATGAGACAGAAAGAAGCACTAGGAAGGGGCAGTGTGCCAGCAGGGTGACAGCCTGCTCAGCGATAAAGGGCTGAAGTCCGCAGGACAGGCGACCTCATGAGGCCCTGCTGCAATGCTGCAGGCTGCGGCAATTCACAACAGTATGCTTCCAGGCTCTGAAAAGTCATTTTTTCTTCTAACAGGTTCTACACATATTTTAACACCCAGAAAGCTGTTGGATGATATAAAGATGCTGAATAAGCCCAAGGATAAAGTTTCTTTTATTAAGGATGAGTAGCTTTTTTTAGAGATTTTTATTAACATGTTCAACTAAAATAGAACAAGAACATCATACTATTATGTAATTTAAACAATGTAAATATTTTATGCAATAATGGCTTTTCAATTATATTTCTTAATGGACTGTTTATGTATTATTAAATTTGCCATTTTAATAACTTCAATGTTGTTGCTGCTTGTAGATGATAAATATTGAAATGCTTTCTAAACACAATTTTTTTGCCTTTGGAGCAGAATATATTAGAGTTGTGGGTAATCTTTCACAGTCACCTGTGTACATACTAGTTACTTGTTAGGTACTTACCTGTCTCATGCTGAAGTATAGTTTTCAGAAAAAAATGAGTTTAAATGAGATTATAAGAAACTGTAAATGTGTATGTGTGACAGAATTTCCTAAAAATATAATTTTTCTTTTAGTTGAAATTCTTGATTTCTTTGAAGTATAATTCAATCAAAAATAGAGTGGTTTCAGGGTGTACACTAGCTTCTTAGATACTACTAAAGAACAGTTTTATGTACTTTTGAAATTATGTATGTTTAAATTACCAAATGAAAAATCTTCACCATTCTTAGAGAAAATAAAAATATATTACAAAATTTATCTGAAGTTTTTATTTTTCTGGGTAAGAGGGGAAAGTTGAGAAGTTTAAAAGTTCTAAATCAGAGTTAACAAAAACCAGAAGGCCCCGTAACTGCCACCAACTTAATTTCTAATGACTTTCAAAAATAGTGTAATGAGTTTGTATAAAGCTGGATAATTTAAGGCTCTATCTGCAGATGAGCTTGTGTTATACAAAAGTAATATCTTCATTTCCAGTCTCTGCTTCTACTTGTCCTCATAGTGTTCTGTCATTTGTGGACCATAATTTTGTATATCACTCATGTTTGGAGTTTCATTCTGATGAATTATTGTGTATTGGTGTCGTAGTTTGGGGTTTTTGCAAGGTGAACAATACAATACAGACACACTTTATAAGATTATTTTATAATCACTCAGGAATCGTGTGCAATGAGTGCAAGAAATCTGTCCACACACTAAAGATCAAAGAATCCAGTTGAAAGCCTAGATCCTAATATCCTTCATGGGTCCAGCAGAACACCTAGAGCCCATAACAGTGCTTCTTAGAAATTCAACTGGAAGCCTACAGCCCACCACAATGTCTCATGCAAATCTGTTTCACGGATCTGCACTGGGAAGGCCCAAAGGTCAGTGGTGGAAGAGAGAAAGTCTGTGCCTGCGGGATGAAGGTTCTGTGTCAGCAGGCTGAGGGATCTGCTCTGGAGCCAGAAGGCAATGCTTAAGGTAAGACCAGACCTTTCCCCAAATGTACCACAACCATCTCAGCGGTAGTGAGGTCCCGAGCTCCTCCAGTGACGAGGAAAGCTGAGTTCCCATCAGGAAAGCCAACGGAAAGCCAAGCTTCTCCAGGAGGCTGAGCAGTGCACCGGGTTCCCCTCTGGAGCCAGGAAGTAGAGCTTAAGATGAGCACCAGAGTTCCCCCAAAGTGAATGGTAGCCATTCTGAGTGGCAACAAGGTCCCAAGCTCCTTGGATGAGAACAGCCAAGTTCACCAGGAAAGCCAGCCTGATGAGGTCCTCCCACAGAACAGCCCAAGAGAACCGGCAGCTTCTACAGAGAGCTTCCCTGACAGCCTCTCCACACACAGCTTCTCCGTTCTGTCTTGTGTGCCGCTGGCAGCAACCCTCAGGTGGGCTCCCTCACCCAGCACCATGCTAGTTCGGGTCAGCTGGGTGTAACAAGCTGGCCGCTCACTAACAGTCCCCTACACTTGGTTACATACTTTTGCAGGCTTACACAAATATTTCTGTAATATGAACCCTAGCAGTGACAGAGCTTGTCGCAGGATTTGTGTTTAAAACAATGATATCATTAAAAACACTTGTTCAGGAAAAGAAACAAACTATTTATTGGTGCCGAGGACTGAACCCAAGGCTTTGCTCATGCTAAGCGGGCACTTTACTACTGTTTCTTGAAAACAGGGTTCTGCTGAGCAGTTCAGGCTGGCCATTGTATTTATATTCTGTGGTTCTAGTTCTAGATTTTCATTTATTGATCAATTTGTATTGTTTTTATCTGTTTTAATTTGTGGTCTGTTTTAATATGTAGTGGAAGTAATCCTTACTTCCCCCAGATCTAAATTACTAATATTTTTCCCAAAACTTCCTATCAGTTAGATTTTTCTAGATGAATGTTAATATCATTTGATTGTGTTCCCATAAAAAGTTATCTTGATAGCATCATTAAATTTCTAGGTTAGTTTAGAGGACAAACCCAGAGGGGTAGCCAGTGGAGACGGGCAGAGGAGGTGGGGTCTGCCCCCAGCAGCGCATTGTTTCGAGCAGATCACAGTAAGGATTTGAATACATCGAAATGCAGGTATTTTTCATTGGTAATTTTTTTTTTTTAAATTTCAGAGAAGAGGCATTAGGCCTGCATATTTATTTACGAACATATCTAGTATGCCATGTGAATTTAAGAGTTTTATCTGTTTCCAAAGAGCTTCACCTCTTGATAAATTCTGTCTATCTGTGAAAAGGGATGAATTAAAATATCCTTACTTCTTAAGCAGTTGGTATCGTACTATAAAGAAAGTGGCTGCAAAACCAGATCCAAAGTGCAGCTCATCATGGCCAGCAACCGCCACTTGTTTTCCACAGAAAACGGCAAATTCTTCCCGGCGCCCTGCTTGTAGTGGCTGTGACGCACCATGGAGGTTGTAAACCTCTGGATGCTCTGCCCCAACATGCTGCTGGTGGAAGCTCTGTGAAGGGGCAAGAAAGGGCCGCAAAACTCAACCCTGCCCCCACTCACAACCTTGTCTTTCTAGAGGAAGAGGCCGCAAGGCTTTCATTGGTAATTTTAATTTTCTACTTAAATAACACTTTCAGATACATTGGAGGGTGCCAATTGGAAGGACTGCCTTGAGCAGCATGGACTCAGCTAGGCGCTAGGAAAAAATGAGTTATTAATGTTAAGCCTGAGAACTTGTTTGGAGGCTTGAGTGGGGAAGCACAGCTACGCATCACGTACCTTGAGGTCAAAGGTTGTCCTCTTCAGGCACACAGCTTCAAGAGGGACACACTTGGAGAGTTGAGGGAGGAAGGGGACACCTACCAGCCAGCCAGATCAGCCAAAGCAACCCTGGGGATCAGTCAGTGACAGATGTCACAGCCAGATCACCTCTGGAAAGTGCAATGTCTTTTTTGTCTAAATCTTTAGAATCTTTCTTTAGACTAGCACAGCTCCACTGAGAATCACTTTTTTCATGTCTTCATTTTTATGAGATCCTTGAGTGCCTTGGATGTTCTGCCAGGATCAGGACATGTGTTGACTCTTTAAACCAGAGAACTGTGACAGTTGGGACTAAGATCGTGGCCTGTTGAGTCAGCCACTTAGCCCCGTGACCACTTGTGCTGTGTGTGCTGACATGTCCTTCCCTCCTTTCTCGTGTGTGCATGAATATAGACACATATATGAGAAATTTTGTTAGCTAAATGTCTTAGTGAATTTCAGCAGAGAAAAGCACCTCCTAAAATGCTTAATAGGTGCTGATCCCCACAGAGACTGTGAACAAGGCATTTGGCAGCTAACTGAAATTTATTTACTGTTAGTCTTGCTGCCTGTTGAAATTTACTTGGTTAATAAATGCAGAAGATTCCCACTGTTAACCATACAGTATTACCAAAAACTAAGAAAAGCATCTTTATGAGCCTGTTCCTAGACCCTTAGCTTCTGCTGACCCTGGCTCACAGCAGCGTTCACAGAGGCCCAAGATTCTTGGATTTGAGTCCCTAAAGACCTGGATTGTGAGGTTTAATGGTGTAAGATGCAAAGTCTCCATATTTTATGTTTTTTCTGAGTCCTATCAGGATGTAGTGCAAATAGATTTCTTCTAAGACCAAAGAAGCAAAAAATATGTTCCTCCTCTGTACAGCAGAATCACTACCAAAGCAATTATTTTGGATATTCAATGTAACTATGTGTAGTATCAACTAGATCTATTACATAATTCATTGATGAGATTACAATATAAAGAATGAAAGGGCCGGCCAGGTAGCTCAGCAGACTAAAGCCCTGTTTAGGCAGGCACAGGGATTGGGGTTCAATCCCTGGAGTGCCATGCCAGCCCCGCCCCTGGGCACGCTGAGATGGCAACTGAGACTGGGCATGGTGGTGTGCACCTGTAATCCCAGCGCTTGGGAGGCTCAACACAGAAGGATCACCACGAGTCCTATGTATGTAGTGATCGGACTCGTAGTGAGACCCTGTAGACCGTGTACTAAATACATTTAAAAAAAGTGATAAAAAGATGGGTCTTCTTTCGTATCACCCGACGGCTCCCTAAGCGCTTGTCTAGAACCGTTTCCTAAAAAGGACGTGGCGAGCTTTCCACCCGCAGTAGTGTCCTGCCGCCCTGGCGCTTTCCAGCACAGGTCTCGTACCCCACAGCTGCCAGGCGCTTGCGCCACCCCTGCTCCCAGGCAGTGCAGAGCCCTGGACTCACGGCATCATGGACACTATTTTACTTAACAGGCTGGTTTTTCCAGTTTATTACTGGAACAAAATTGGAAGAAAGGTTTCCAGGAATTGACAAAGAGGTATGGGGGAGGAGACAGCAGACAGGACAGAATCACTAGGTGCGGACTTACCCTGCTAACGCCAAGCCTGGGACTCCTCCAGAACTCCTTACAGGCATGGTCCTATTGCATTTTTGGTTTAGTCCTGTGCACTGATTGCTCATGATGATCCCAAATCATCAAAGAAATGTAACATTGCATTTAGAATATGGTTTAATGAGGCCAATGGGCCATGTTTTTAAGTCACAAAAAAGATAACACTTGCAAACTTCTATAAAAGTGACTAGACGGCACTTAAACCCAAGTGGCTTCATTCTGAGTTGATTTGGTCTCTTGAAGTGTAGCAGGAGCTCGGTACAAAAGTGAAGTTCTGTTAGCTGGAGAGATAGCTTGGTGGCCTGAGCGCCTACCTGGTTAGTGCAAGGACCTGGGTTCGATCCCCAGTACTGCATGCCGTGCAGGCTCCAGAACCTAGGCACGCCTTGCTGGCCACCAAAATTGGGCATGGTGGTGTATGCCTATAATCTCACAGCTGGGGAGGCTGAGCCAGTCCACTATGAGTCCGAGCTCATAGCAAAACCCTGTACCAAATAAATAGATAAAAATAGATTTAAAAAAATTAAAAAAAAAAAATTTAAATGAACTTCTGGCTGGGTATGGTGGCACATACCTGTAATCCTAGCACTCAGGAGGCTGAGGCAGGAGGATCACCGTGAGTTTGAGCCCAGCCTGAACTACATAGCTAGACCTTGTCTTTAAAAGGAGAAGAAAAACCTAGGGTGCAGAAAAAAAAAAATGACCCTCCACAAATTTTCTGTAACAATATATACTGTTTAAGCTCCATTTTCTCTTACAGCATTGCCTTTGCTATCTTCTTTATGGTGCCCCAGACGAATATAAATTTAGCCACATCTCCCAGCTGGCCTGTGCGTTATCTGTGCCCGAATACTCTAAACCAGTTTCAAGGCCTGAAGTTAAAAATAGCCCATTGTCTAGCCACCTACACAAATGGCAGCTGCCTTGGTTGGCACAGAAATCTGCAGTGGGGATACATTCGGCTCCCTGCTTACTGCAGAGCCAAACTCGGGTTGGGAAACGTGTTGAGGGTGTGCAGAGGGGGACAGAACCAGTAATGTTGCCATGGAGGAAGGAGGTCGTCAATCGTTTTTAAAAGACTAAATCAAAAGCCTGCTCTGGCATTCTATGGGGAGTATTAATCCCTCATTCACAATTTTAATGGGTTCTTTTTCTAAAATTTCATTAATGTAGGACCATCAGTTGTATGTGATTTCAAGAGGTCTTTAAATACAATTTTATAATCATACTGTTAAGAATATCAGGGGCCGAGGAGATGGCTCAGTGGAATAAGCACTTGCCTGGCAAGTGCAAGGGTCTGAGTTCAATCCCCCCCGGTTCCGCCAAAAAAAAAAAAAAAAGAAAAAAAAGAAAAAATCAGACAGTGAATAAGAAGGGAAGTGGAACTTGAAGGACAATCCCCTCCAGCCCCAGCCCATCCCATCCTCACAGAACTTTTTGTTCTGGTGCAGATGAGATGGGCAACTGCATCCTGCAGAGGGTTGGTGGTGTCCCCTTCTCGCGGGATGCATGAGGTGCTGTCTTCCTTGAAGCCTAGTTGCTGCTCCGGCTTACCTCTGCCCCCGCTCCCCCACACTGCTCCATTTCTAAAGCCTGAGCCCCTCAGCCACATGTATAAAGCTAGAGCCCTCCTTTGTTCTGACGCCCAGCACTGTGGACATGGCTCAGCTGGGTCAGTGTGCATCTAAAACCCTGGAAAGAAATCCTCCTTTTTCCCCATGCGTCTCTCTGATCCCTTGTACTCTACAGCAAAAGTAAGAAACTCATTCTCTCCCTAAACTCCCAGTTTTATTTCCTAAAATCACTTAAGCTATCTGTGTATCTTTTCAGAAAATATATATGCCCTGTAATAAGATACACAAAAGTGAGGTCACACTGGGTGTGTTGTTGGGTATCGTGTTTCATTCAGTGTCTTAGAAATGATCTGCCTCGTTCTTCTCACTGGTTTGTAGAGTATTATTAATCATTATATGCTAAGATTCGTCCCCTTGAGGGTGTCACTGATCAGTGGCCCTTATACATGTGTGGTGGAAGAGTGAGTCATCTGTAAACTCCCAGCAGTCAGAAGGTAAGTGCTTTTAGAATACGCACAACTTGGTAGACACGGTCTCCAACTTGGGATGGTGGCATTTTTTTCAACTTTATGATGGCCTGAAATGCATGTGCATCTCATAGTGGTTCTACTGTGAGTTTTTATCTTTTCCAAGGCTGGTGCGCTAGGCAGTCTGATGCTGCCTGCCGCTCTTGTCAGTGGAGGCTTTGCCAAGCAGCGATGTGGAGTAGGTTAGATTAATTACATGAATTTTCAATTTAAGGTTTCTTACTATGGATTTATTGAGATACAAATCCCATAAGCCAATGAGCATCAGTGTTAACAAATTTCCTTCCAATAAGTTCAATTCCTAGTACCGAAAACAAAGAGACAATTTTTAAAAAACAAAAATCTTTTTAAAAAATTTCCTTCCGGAAAGGTTTCATCAGCTTACATTCCAACTATATGTGAGAGTAGTACTTCTCCCATCTTCACTGACACAAACTTTACGTTTTTCCAAAGTAATAGATAAAAGTAAATTTTATTGTTTTGGTTTGGTTTCTTTTGGTTTTAAGAATCAGGGGATCTTTTATTCCCACTTAAACACTTTGTGTTACCCTGTTAAGATTTAAGTGTTGTCTTTAAAAGACATCTTTCTGAATTGTGTAATAAGTAAAATATTTGGGGTAGGGTGCTGATCGAGTTTTCTTTGCATATTTTTTTCTTTTTAAACGTGGCTTCCTTGGGTTAGTACTTCAGGCGATTCCTCCACCTCTTTGCTTTGGCAAGGTCTTCTGCAATCGCTCTAATCATTTGATCAGTGGTCTTTTTCAAAATGGTTGCTGTCTTCAGGGCGTGATCCAGGGCTGAATTTAAGATCTACAGAGAAAAAGCCCGCATGTTTTAGTTACATAAACTAAGGTTTCTGAGAGTTGGCTTCTCACATTATTAAATATTGCAAGGTGGAATTTTTGGAGCATTCTGTTTGCCACACAGTTTATTTCTCGAGGATTAGTTTCCTAGGAAACCAGCCTGACACGGAATGTATGTGTTAGGGGAAGGGAGAGAAGAAAGATCAGCCGTGATTGATGAGCATGAATCAGAGGGTAGGTCAGCAGCCTGCGGGGATGTCTGCGTGCTGCAGAGAAAGGAAAAGCTCTTAGGGCCCTGCAGGGGGGGTGTGAAGACACAACCGTGGACAGGCGTGCAAGAAGAACACAGAATGTGTGTGTGTGTGCGAACGTTTGAAAGTGACCTGGGCCTGGTGTTCGTGGGAAGGAGAAAACCACTGGCAGTCCTAACCGCAGAGTCGCTTGCTGCAGACTGCTGAGGCCCGGCCAGGGGAATCCTGCACGGGGGCGCCACCCACAGAACACTTTCTCCCGGCCATTTCCTTTGGAACCAATTTAGGACTAATACAAACCATGCGGCTGCTGAGGCTTTCTGTTAATGCCGGGTGCAGATTGTTGCTACCAGAACGTTTTCTCAACCCTAGACTGTAAGGACTTAAAAGCTAGTGCTTTCCGTGATCCTGAAGACCACAGAATTCTTGTAGCAGAAGCTACAAGAATTCTGTAAGGACTTTTCTAAGTCCTCACCTTGGACTCCGTTTTTTCAATGGCACTGAAGTCACATAAAGATTTGCTTCCAGAAATCCTGCAGGCCTGGAGGCGGGGCCGGAGGACTGCAGGCTCTGCGCTGCGGGCGGTACAGGTCTTGGGATTTCTGTGGAAGCAGAAGCACATTGGTCATTGTGTAAGGCGCTCTTCAAACACACCTTCCAGCCCAGCTCTGCTCTGGGGGCTGTCCGTGCGGGGACAGGTGTCAGGACTTGGGCGCGCACAGCCTCTTCAGAGCACCCCCAAAACTGGCACCACGCCCATGACAGTTGGTCCTTCCACAGTTGGTCTTTTTCTTAGCAAGAAAAGGCAAAATCCCTGACAATTTTTATTTACTTTTTGTTATTTGGGGGCCAACATGCTACTTTGCATGTTTTAAAAAAACAAATGTACACTCAAAAAAACCTGGCAGTTGTTGGCATCTTGGTTTTTTGTCTTTTTTTTTTTTTCGGAACCAGGGATTGAACTCAGGCCCTGGTGCTTGCCCGCGAAGCACTTATTCCACTGAGCCATCTCCCCAGCCCCAGTGTTTTTTGGTTTTTTTTTTTTGTTGTTGTTGTTTTTTTTTGGTTTTGTTTTGTTTTGTCTTTTTGAAACAGGGTTTCACTATGTAGTTCAGGCTGGCCTTAAGCTCACTTTGTAGCCAGGCTGGTCTAAACCTCACAGTGGTCCTCCTGCCTCAGCCTCCCGAGTGTTGGGATTACAGGTGTGTACCACCGTACACATCTCATCTTGGACTGAGGTCATTTTAGGACCAGTGAACTTAGACAGCAAAAAGGCCAAAGCTGCAGGAAAATAGACACACTGCCTGAAGCAAGCAGGCTCCCCTGGACCACCATGTAATTAGGTCTCCGTGTTGGTGTCAGGAGTCCTGAGTCTGGCCTGGGCGGAGGGGGATCCAGGGCCTCTCTGTCACCCAGGCTGTGCATGGCATAGCTGTTGGGACCTAGGCTGCTCCTCCTTGTGACGCGCACTCCTGGAGTTAATGCTTTGCACGACCACCAGTACGTCTGTCCTGCAGCTCCCTCCACATCTTCCCTCTGCTGGCATTATTCTGGTACATACATAACTTGTGGGCAGCATCATCTTCAGGAAACTGCCCTTCAGATCCTGTGACCCCAGAGCCTCACTTAGCCCCTCTGCCTCTGCTACATTAGTTCTGCAGTTTAGCTCGTGAGATCTGTCCTCAAAAGGTGAAGTGGCTGCCCGGAGGCCCTACGTGATAGAAAGTTTGAGGGCCGGCCAAATAGTTCAGCGGATTAACACACCTGCTGAGGCAGATTCCTGGTTTGCGCTGGCCCCACCCCTGGGGCGCGCGCTGAGATACTGAGACTGGGCGTGGTGGTGCCTGTAATCCCAGCTCTTTGGGAGGCTGAATGTAGGCGGATCGTGAGTCCAATCTACATAGTGAGACCCTGTAGGCCCTGTAGACCCTTACTAAAATACAAATAAATAAATAATAAAGTTTGGCAAGGTGTGGCCGTGCGGTCCCATGGACAGAGCAAGGGCTTCAGACTGTTCTGTCTCCAGCCCGCCAGTGAGCCGCCACCTTCCACAGTGCAGCCAACTGTATTGAGTCAGTTCTCAGCGAATTAAAACCTGTCTCACTCCCCTTTTACATAGGGGTAAGTGGAGGCAGACAGGTTAGGTAACACCGAAGAACACAGAACGCTAGATGGAAACCCAAGAAGCCTCGTCAGGTCACATTTTCAGCACTGCGCTGTGCTGTGGGTAGTGGGTCAGGCCGAGTCCGAGAGGAGGGCCTGAAGGCTCCTCTGCTCTGCTGTGCTGCGCCCTGCCTTGCGCTCCTCTAACCCATTTCCCGTTCCTCAGCAGCTAGAGCGTTCCTGTAGCGCACTCCAAGCCCCTGATGTTAACTTGCCGAGGCTCTTTGTGACTCCAAGTCCTGTCCTGGCGTCTCCTCTGGTTCATTCACACTCGCGAACCCCCAGGGTAGCTCTGTAGAACTCTGTATTTTCCCTTCTTAACAGTTTCAAAGACCATGTGCTCTTCTATCAATAAAGCAAGCGCAACACGGGCAGAGATGGTTAACTTTGTCATTGGATCTTTATTTTTGCGGAACCGGGGATTGAACTCAGACCCTTGCATTTGCCAGGGAAGCGCTTATTCCACTGAGCCATCTCCCCGGCCCCTGTCATTGGATCTTTAGTACCTAGCAAAATATCCTGCATTTGATACTCAAATGTTTGTTTAATTGATGAGTGAATGATGCTGTGTAATCCCAGCACTCAGGAGGCTGAGGCAGGAGGACTGACATGAGTTTGAGACTGTGAGGGCTACATAATGATCTCAAGAACAGCTGAACTACACAGCAAGCTCCTATATCAAGACCAAAAAAAAAAAGTAAATTATTAAAATATTTAGAAAGGGTTCATTTAATATCATGGCTTTTCTATTGATGGTCTAGGTGGCTTGGGGTAGGTAATACATAAATAAATACAGTATTTACATCTCACCAGTGATTGGCTATCATGAATACTTACTTTCCTAGTGCAGGCTCACATTCATCTTCAAAGGACTGTGAATTCACTCCATGGGAACACAGCTGTTTCAGTTTTGAAAAAGCTGAAAAATGTTACCTATTATTAAATTCAGAGCTCCAAAAGTGATCCCTACCTAGTTGGGTATATAACATTTCCTTTTCAGTATGAATTAAACATTTTCTAAAATTTTAATAATTATGTTTAAAAAAAGTAGCAGAAAACAAGGAATTTTCTATCAAGTTTTCTGAATTCATGAAAAAAAAATCAATTTAAAAGGAGTTTCATTAGTAGAAATGAGGCCAGGGGCCTGAGTGCTCGCTGTTGACATGTTGTCCAAATTCTGTGGGCTCAACTACTTCATCTGATATAAATGGATAATAGTTTTCAAGAGGTTGGTCATGGGGTCCTGAAATCTTCCTCAACTTTAGGAGCAAGGATTCTAGGAGTCATTAACAACTGTGTTATTCAGGCAATTCCAAAAAATAGACTAAACCAAGAAGAAAACTGTAGGAAAGTCACCATAGATGACAAGAAAGCCAGGGAAAGAGAGACAAGTCAGTGGTCAGGAAATCCACCTTCTCATTGTGAAGGCCCCTTCTCTACCTCCTCTTCCGTCTTGCCTTTCCCTTCTCTGTCTTCTCCTCTTTCTCCAGGTGCCCTGTCTTATTTGTGTCTGGCATACAAGCTTCACTTTCTTCTAGAGGGTCCCATCAGACAAGGGAAACTTGGAGCAAGTGCCCCTTATGTATGGACAGCAAGATGGAAGCCGAAAAGTCCAAATTTAGTCATGCTGACCACCTATCCCTGTGCAGTGAAAGAAAGGCCCCATGGAGCTCCATCTTAATTCTTTGGTAGTCTCCAAGTATAACTTTGGAATTTATTGAAAACATAGAAGCTCCAAAAGAGACACAAAGCCAGGGGGCTCAGTTCTAGGCCAGTCTACCAATCTTCACCATCAGACAAAGCACACCGTCTCCCAGACACCCACAGCCTCCTGCAACAGCGCACTCCATTTTCTGTCAGCTCCAGTTGCTAGACGCTTCCTTATCATCTCTGAGGAAAAGCTGCCTCCCTGTTAGCCACACACATTTTCTAAGGGTGCTCACATTTCAGTGACTGTTCTACTCCTCATACCTGTTTTGGAATAATGGTCTCAAAGACTGAAGAGATAGGAAAGAAATTTGCCCTGTAGCTTCTGCAGTCTTTGTGACCGTCATGCTTTGACTAATAGGTAGATCTGTCAGCTGCAGGCGGTTAGAGGTGGCACAGCTGAGGTCCCTGAGGTAAATAATATCCTTTAGTCTTGGGCCTGGGCATTTGTATAAGTACCGCGCGCTAACCGATTGCGCCACTGGAGCTTCTAGTAAAAGGTAAGAAACATCCTCCTTTGGTGTTCTATCCCCAGAGGGAAAGAGTTCTGAAGGGGTGAAAGAAAGGACAAGGCCATGTCAGAGAGCTGGCACATCTGTCATGCAGGGGCGGACTGGCAGTACTGTAGAGCCTTTTTTCTTCTCTGACTCCCGCAGCACACCTGGACCTTGTTGTTAACACTCACATGTTGCCTTGATTTTCCCCCATTGGGTAGAAGTCCCTCCCTCTCAAGTGGAAACCCCTGAGGGAGAAGCCATCTCTTAGTTGCCTTTATAAATGTGAGATTTAATTTTTTTTTCAAAGACACCCAAATTTTACACTGTGAACTAGCAATCTGTTGTCTAAGGAGTATAAGGAGTATTCATATGCTGACTTGGAGGAAGGAAAAAAGTAAAGCTTTGGGCATCGTGAAAAGTAACAGCAATAGCGGTGAGGGTTCAGTCATTGGTCCAGCCAGCATGCACGGTGTCTGCTGACTTGTCCCTAAGGCACGTACGGCACGTAAGCGCTTAAGACACACTCGGAATCCTTTATCCTGGGTTTTCACCCGGGCCCTGCTTGGCCTCTTGGCGTCCGGGTGTAGGGCTGAGCCTGGAGGTGTCTGCTAAGCGCAGGACCCCGAGGCCTAGACTGGGGTGGCGGGGCTCTCCGGGAGAAACCCCAGTGTCCTCCGGGTTTCCCACCCTGCGAGACAGGTTGCTGGCCTACGGGGTGGTACCGGTGGTGGTGCACTTACAAGGAGCAGAAGTTTTATTTTCATCTAAAGAGCCGGGCTGGACAAAGGCACCTCTTCTGCTGTGATTTAAGTAATATTGTCCTGGAGTGTCGTATCTGTAATGAAACTCTAAAAAGAAAAGGTTCAGTGCCCAGCTTTCGGCCGGGGACCCGCCGTCCCTCCGTAGGTCCTCCGAGGCCCCAAGTCAGCCTCACCTTGCAGCGGGTCCTTCCCGCGGACGCCTGGCGAGCTCTGCACCTCCGCGCCACAGTGCCCGCGCGTGCTGCTGCAACCCGAGCAGCTCAGTCCTGTGTCCCAGAAAGCGCAAGAGACACGAAACGAGCGTGAGTTTCTTGAGAGGCGCAATGTGGCGCGGAGCGCAGAGCTCTAGCGCGCTCGGCGGCGGCGTGCACCTCCTCGGGGAATTGCCCAGCAGTTACCAGCACACCGGTGACGTCTGGGCCACCCTCCTGAGAGACAGTTCAGTAAGTTACAGTCCTGATATGAAAGTTTCGGAACGTACCGAGGACCTCGAGATGCCGAATGGCGGGATCTGTGGGAATCTGACCCACTGAGTCGTCAGGGAATCTTGTATTTCTTGTTTTCCAGATTTGCTCTGAGGCATCCACTTTATCGCAGACTCAGTTAGGGCCAGAGCTTATGCTTTGCCATCCAGGCGACCAGAAAGGTCGTTTGTCTCTATGGGACATCCTTAAGCCCGTGTGAGGGCCCGAAGGCTCAGCTTGGCCTTAGCCTGAGGCTGGTGGCGCAGAGCGCAGGCCTCGCTCCTGTTGGATGCGTGAGGGGGGCCGGAGTGGGGAGCGCGCACCTCTGGGTCATCAGTGGGCCAGATGTGGGGGCCTGGGGTTGAAGTCTGGCTCGGTCACTGTGAGGGCCACGAATTCTTTTATTTGTTATTTTTTTTTTAAGTTTTTATTTATTGTGTGTGTGTGTGTGTGTGTGTGTGTGTGTTTGTGGCCGGCTCAGTCCACCAGGGGGCGGGCTGGCTGGCATGTGGTGCTGGGGGATTGAACCGCGGTCCCTGTGTCTTGCTAAGCTTGGTCTAAGTAGGCGCTTCAGACCACTGAGCCATCTCACCAAACCCTAGCCACGAATTCTTACATTCTTTGTGCTCTCTTTAAAAGGTGGGGCTCAGGCGGGGTGGGGCTCAGCAGTTAGAGGACTCCCCTGGCAGCAAAGCGTCCTGGGTTTAACCCCCAGGCCTGCAGCCCGGTTCCTCTCTCTGTGAACCTGGGCTGGGTTTAGTGACTCATTTCTAACAAGCTTTAATGATGGCATTAAACACCCCAAACTGGCCTATACTGACCCTGAGTCTTCAGTGCGGTGCTTTCCTCAGGTCAGTCGCTCAGGGGAAGCTGGCTGCCCTGTCATTGTGACACGCAAGCAGCCCACAGAGGGGCTCCAGGGCAGGAGCTGCCTCTCCCGCTGGAGCCAGGGGGGCGACCCTCCCTGCAAGCAGGGCCTGTCACCCCAGACAAAGCCCCGGCCCCAGACTGCAGCCTCTGCGGACCTGAGACAGCAACTGTAGGAGAGACACCAACCAAGCCTGCTCCCTGCAGTAGGCCGCTCCCAAACTCCTAATCTACAGAGACTGTGAGGTAACCCATGTTCCTGATTCTGAGTCAATATATTCTGGGATGTTTTGTTACACAGCAGTAGATAAGTAATGGCAGCTCTTGGCCCCTGGTGCATGACGCAACTTCATCTCTGAAATAAAGAGAGTACTTCCTACCTTAGGAGGGGGACATGATAAATGGGACATGCTGTGTCAAAGTTCTCAGTCTTTCCACTCTTAAAATTGAGAGCCCTAACGTGCTTCTGCGTGTGTGGCTTTGTCTACCAAATATCATGACATCCACCATTTTAGAGACCTGAGGAAGAAATCTATCCCCAAAATGGGGAAGAGCCAGTCAGTGCAGGTGGACTGGGAGAGAGATTTTGTTATATTAACGGCAAATCATTTTTATATTTAGATCTTCCCAAGACTCAATAAATAGTTTTGAGGATTTTATGTAGAGTTTTAAACTAAAACATTTTATTATGTCTTTTAAACATGATAAAGGCAAGTGGGGCATGGTGGCATGTGCCTGTGATCAGCCCTTGGGAGGCTGAGGCAGGAGGGTTGTTGTGAGTTCAAAACCAGGCTGGGCTACAAAGTGAGCTTGAGGCCAGCCTGAACTGCATAGCAAGATCTTATATCAAAAAGCAAGTAAAGTAAGAAAGAAAGGAAGTGGCTAGGGAATAAAAGCCAGGTGTGGTGGTACATGCCTATGCTCCCAGCTACTTGGGAGGCTGAGGCAGGAGGACTGCTTGAGTCCAGGCATTTAAGGATAACCTGGACAACATAGTGAGACCCTCTCTCTACATAAAGAAAAAAAAGGAATAAATAAAAATTATAAAATTAAATGCATGTTAACAGTGCTTAGATGAAAATATATTTTCTGAAATTAAAACATTGAGAACAGTATCATTAAAATTTTGATAAGAATCTTTACTGGCTGAGTAGCAGGCAGCTGGATTCTGTGGCTGGATCTCCAATCTATTGCAATATTGGCCTTGCTGGCAAGAAGGAAGACCCTGTGTACTCTCTGAATGATTTTAAGGGGACCTCAGACCCTCTGACAGCACTCTGACCCTCCTCTGATACAGCATCTGGTACAACAAGGGTTCAATCTACGAAGCCTATTGTTTTTTTTTTTTTTAATTTTTTTTTCTTTTTTTTTTAAACTCTTTTTTTTTAATATTTATTTATTTTTATTTATTACATTTATTTATTGTGTGTGTGTGTGTGTCCAGCTCAGCCCACCAGGGGGCGGGGCTGGCTGGCATGTGGTGCTGGGGATCGAACCGCGGTCCCTGTGCTTTGCCAAGCTTGTTTCAAGTAGGTGCTTTAGACCACTGAGCCATCTCTCCAGCCCCAAGCCTATTGTTATTACTTGAAAATGTACCATCTACCAAGAGGCGAGCGTGAACCGAGTGGGACCTAACTGTGCTGAGTGGAAGTGCGGCTCCAAGAGACAGGGAGGGGGAATGTGGGCGCTGTGCCTGCTCCCTGGCCACCAGCTCCCTCGGGGCTGGCTCAGAAGACATCAGGTTCCTCAGGGCTTTGCAACCTCAGGAGCTGCCTGCGCAGGCGGCCCTCGCCCACCCGCCCACCTCCACCCAGGCAGGCCTGCCAGGGGCCGTTGTACTGCTTATGCCACCTTTGGAGACAGGATCCCAGGACTACAGCCATCGAGTTGCATGCTCTCGTGCCCGCTGCTCTCCTCCCAGACCTTTGCTGCCATGAAACATTTATGAACAAAGTTGGTTGGCAGCCGCGCCCATGTGGCCTGTGACCTTCCCAGGTGCAGCTCTGGGTCATGCTGGGAGGAGGATGTTGGAAGATTGAGGACACCTCAGTCACAGAGGATGACTCTATGGGGTCCTCTGATTCCAGCTAGAGATAGGCACTGGCTCTTCACCCTGCTTAATCTTACTGAAATCTAATTAGTAATCCCATATATTTGGAAAGAGAAAACCCACAATACGTAACATGCCGGTCGAGGGCAGCAGCTAGCAAGCTGGGGCCCGCCGTGAGCAGAACCTGCAGAGAGGGCCCTGTAGCTCAGCGCCCGTAGCCCCAGCCCCTCCACCTACCAAGTGTTGGATCTTGGTGCAGCGCCTTTTCATGAATGATAATTGAAAACTTGCCACAGTTGATCCTCCTGAGACCTTTTCTCTCCATCTTTTGCTTCCTACAAAAAGGTGCATACAATCTCATAAAATCATGGGACATTTCTAATAGAGAGAGGGAAAGTAGTGGCAAACAGAAACATTAAACTTCCTGTGTCAGAGCCTGGAGCAGCGTAGGCCTGGCCTAGTGTCCTCAATGAAGAGGTCCCCCTGTCCTTCGGGAAGGGCTCCCTGTACAAAATCGCACGCAGCATAATCGGGCCTGATGAGAATGTTTGTAAAACAGTAAAATTAAATGTTTTGTTCCATAGAGGATAATAATCGTATATACATACATAAAATAGAAAATTATAGTATAAAACTATAAAAACTGATGTTTTCCTCATATCTGTATCTAAAAACCGGTTATCTGGGAAGAAGCTACACTATCCAGCAGTACCAGATCGCATGGCTTCAGCTAAGCATACAGCTGAATGAATCCAAGAAGCCCAAAATGGAGTAGTTTTGGTTGTACAGTATAGGGTCGCCAGGGGGCATCAGAAAGAAGCAAATACACTGGCACTGTCAAGCGACTTCTCTGACCTCTGTGTGGCTCCCGCCTCCCTCCCTCACAGAGATTCTCATTTCTCTAAAGGAATTGTAATTAATCACAAAGGCCTTGTCCAGTCCCCAGATAATCTGAGAGCCCCACAGCAGGGATCCTGCACAGGGAGGCTGATCCGTTCCCCAGGGCTGGGTCTGAACTGGAGGCGACGCACATCAGCACACTCATGCCCAGCTGTGTCTGGACTGGGGCTGTGTGTGCAGGGTGCCTGGCCTGGCGTTCACGGGTTGGGCCTGGGAGCAAGGCCCTCTCCTCCTAGAAAAATATGCCTCCTCTGAGTCATGCATTTTCTCACACTTCATTTTCTGTCTCCACCCTTGGCCTCTGCAGCGGTAGAACATCTGTTCTCCAAAGAAAACTTGGAACTCGGTCAAGTGAGTGCAGCCCTATGCATAAATCGGCCTGCTCTTTAAACTCCTTGCGCTGTGTACTCCTGTCCAAACATAACAGTGAGGGCAGTTCTGCTGGAGAAGGCTGTTTTTCACCAAGACTAAGTAGCCAAAGCGTGCTCTTAAAAGCAGCGATAGGCATCAAAATTAATATAAATGAATCTAAATGTTACTTACCGTATTTACACTTAGATAAATGTGTATTACTCATCTACAAATTACACATCAGTAAAGTGGATAAAAGAATGCACCCTGATCCGAAAGCTATGTGATCTTCTAACAGGACAGAGGACATACACAGCCCCTCTTCAGATAATTCCTCAGGAACTGCATGCCTTACCAGATCGCAACTCTTCATCCTCCCAGCAGGGAACCCACTGACTATGTTTGGCTGTGTTTTGCTTTCTGCCTCGTCCATTATGAAGGAGTACATTTATACCTGGGCCAGGAGCACGCCTGTAATCCCAGCCCTGGGGAGGTTGAGGCAGGAGGGTCCTTGCAAGTTTGAGGCCATTCTGGGCTACTTAGTGAGTTCAAGGGCAGCCTGAACCACATAACAAGACCTTGTCTAAAAAAAAAAAAAGAAAATATATTCAGGCTAGAACACTGGTGGTTCCTATGTTGGTATTTAAGTGGGTCTATAGGATCTAGACTAGAAATTTGGAAGAAAAACAGTCAGTACCTTAAATGTTTACTCAAAATGTTTTAATTTTAAATATCAATTTTACCTGGGTAGCCTTGAGCCTGGCACTCGATTTGGAGTTCACTTTCCTCATCTAGAACTCAAGTTTTCTATCTAGAAATGGGAAGTTGGAATAATTCAGTGGCTTTCTCTTATATATTTTGCGATTGAATCTTTCACTTGAAAGAAATTTCAACCAGTAGTTAACTTATAAAATAATTAAGATATGAGCCGCAGGTAGCCAACCTGGGATGAAATAATGTTCACAGATTTCTTTCCCCCATAAATCCTGGAATTATAGAACTCCAAGGGATGCATCCCTTTGTTGAATTCTTGGACCTAAGTGGTTCTGATTATTTATTGAAAACCATCACGTTTTACTGTGATCTCAAAGCTTGCTCAATGGAGGCATGACATCCCAGGGCCTGGTGAGGACTAGGTAATCGCTCTTGGTTGACTCAGGGATTTTTCCACCAACTCTTCTAAAACTCTACTTCCTCCCTATTTCCAGTCCCATCTGGACTTGGGTAACAGGTTGATCTGCCCAGAGTGGCAGAAGTCGTCTTACACTGCGTCCCTGAGCTCTTCCATGTGTTCTCTAACCAGAAGGCTCACAGCTGAATCCCTCTTGAACTAACGTCATCTCAAAGAGCCTTCCTCTGCCTTCCCTCAGTAAAGTATCTTCTGTCCCAGCCTTAATAACATGTACCAGAGACTTACTTCCACTTACTTCATACTCCTTATTAGTAATTGAACTTGTCTTGCTTATTTATTTTCTAGATTAATTAACATCTGTCTCTCCCAAAGGAATGTAAAGTCATGAGATTAGGGACTGTATTTGTCTCTTCTACCATTTTATTCCTGGAACCTAGCACCCAATCTGTCACATAGTTGGCACTTAATAAATCTTTGAATGAAAAAAAAAAAAATAGCAATTTTGAGACAAGTTCTCACCAAAGCCCAGGCTGGCCTCAAACTTCCGATCCTGCTGCCTCTGCCTCGCAGTAGCTAGGATTACAGGTGTGTGCCACCACAGACAGCCTCGACATTTTTATTGTTCTTTAAAACCCTCTTTAAAAACCCACATAAATGCAGGCTTTAACTCAATAAATAAAAACAGGAAGCCTGGCAGGACTGGGAGAGCGAGCTTCCGCGTGCCCATTCTGCGGGGCAGCACTGGGGACAGCAGGCCACACCGGACCACACCAGGAACTGGTAGCACAGCCTCCAGGGGCTTCTTCCTTAAGAGGCAGAAGCTCAGTTGCACACTGGAGCAAGTGCCCAGAAAATGCAGTCCCTCCGACGAACGACGAACGTTGTTCTCCGCTTCCCTAGAGCCCATCATCCCCGTCCCTGCGGGCCCTTGACCTCCCCGCAGTCACGTGAATGGGCCGAGGGCAGGATTTCTCTTTAGGGTTCCACGCCCAGCGCTGGGAGAGTTCTTGCTTAGGAATGGACCCGGCCCTGGAACGTGGGACCCAGCACGGGGCGTCTGCCCGCCTGCGGGAGGGAGCTGGTCCTCGCAGCTAGTAATGAGGAGCCCCATGGGGCAGGCTGGCCCAGCCCAAGGACGCCCGGCTGCGCTGCGGCTCCCCACCGCGGCGGCCTCGAGAGCCACCGGGGAGGCTCATTTGTGCCCAGCTGCGCTCCCGGGGTGCGGCTGTCGTGGCCGGCCGGGCGGAGGCTGGGCGTTACTTGAAAATCGCCCAGGGACTTTGATTCTCGCCCTTGCAAATCAGCCTCTGCTGAGGGAGGACCGCAAGCCGGGCCCTGCCCTGCCAGTGTGTCCGCGAGCTGTGCGGGTGCGTGCCCAGGTCACCCCGCCCGTCCCCGGGATGGTGCGTGCCCAGGTCACCCGGCCAGTCCCCGGGATGGTGCGTGCCCAGGTCACCCGGCCAGTCCCCGGGATGCGCGGTGCCCGCCGAGGCCACCCCACCCCACCCGGGGATGCGCCGCGGGGGCCTCACCATTCCAGGAGGCAGCGGCAGAAGGCACAGCCTGGACTCGGGGCCACCGTCGCAGCAGGCTCCGGGCTCCCCGATGCGCCGCTGGGGTCCACCTGCGCACAAGCACACGAGAGGGGGAGGTGGGACCCACCCGAGGCTGCCCGCGAGGCCCGGCGCTGCCCAGGCGCTCCCCACCCCCGCAGGGCAGGGCTTTGTCAGTGTCCCCTACAGCGAAGGCCAAGAGCCCATGCTAAGGCCTCGGCGTGGCCGGGGCTTCTGGGGCTTGGGCTGCAGGACAAGCTCCAGTCCCGCCTGGGCTTCTTCCTCCGGATTTTAAAATCTGGGTGCAAATGAGAGAACTCCTTTCCTTTTTCTTTCCCTTACTTTCAAATTATTCCACCCTCCTACCCGCGAGGATGAACCCTACCCCTGAACCCTGCCCCAGTCAGCAGGATAGTTTTTAAGTCAATCCCACCACCAGTTAGTGGAGTCCCAAAAGCTTTTCCAAAGAAATGTACTCAACTGTGAAATAAAAGAAGGTTTAGGGCATACCTCTGTCCGAAACAACTCTGCCCCTTTTAAACACAAAATAATTGTACTATTACTTTACCTAAAGGGCTGACAACTCCTACCAGGTATTTCTGACTGCGATTGCATGCCTCCCTTAAATAGAAAATATGTTTTTTTCTGCCATTATAAACAATGCTGGCATAAGTATCTTTGAACACAGAACTTTTTCCACATTTTAATTACTTCCAGAGGAAACATCTGGGCCAGAGGTCACCAACATGTTGGTGGGAGGATACTTTCTCCCAACAGCCAGCAACTAAGTGAATGGTTCAGTTCTACCGCACCTTTCACAGTACCAGGGATTGCTGCTTGGAAATGTTTTTAACTCAAGGGTTTTGTTAATTAAAGTTGGGTGATTGTGCTATTAAAGAAAAAAGTTTCTCCTTTTGCTGTTTATTAGCTGTATTTCCTACATGTGACTTTTTAGTTCCTATCCTTTGCACATTAGTTTTGTTTTGTCTTTTTGAACCAGTCTCACTATGCAGTTCAAGCTGGACTTGAACTTGCTTTGTAGCCCAGGCTGGCCCAGAACTGGCAGAGATTCTCCTGCTTCAGCCTCCCAAGTGCTGGCATGAAGGGCTTTGGTAATTTTTGTATTGATTGCTCCTTAGATGCTATTAGGTGGTCTTCACACAGTCTTTTTTTATCACTTCCTACCACCCTAGCAGGTTATCATTTCATTAATAACCTATCAGAGACTCAGGGAATTTAGGCAAATTGTCAAGGTCACATGGAAAGTACGTAGCTGAGCGTGGTCTGAACCTTTGCATCGTGGGTCCCATGCGTTGTTCGTAAGCCTAGTTCTGCTCCTTAGTGCAGAGAGTACTTGGTAAAATAAAGATATCAATACAGACATGATTTTCTCTTCATATTTTCTCAGTTGTCTGCCTTTAAAAAGCCAGCTGTAGTTTCTGCTCCGCGAATGTGAACGCTGGAAGTGTGAATGGGTGAAAGAACTAGTGACAGTAGGTTGAAGTTTATGAATAATCAAGCGTAGAAACAAGGCGAAAGCAGTTTCCAACTGTCACTTTAGCAGAAATGGAGCAAAAGGAACCAGGATCAGGGTGGACCGTAGTTGGAGATCCGGACTTTCCCGCATCCTGATGGGACCCAAAGGCCGGCTTTCCCTTTCTAATGGCCAGTTTGCCACAATGTTCACTACGAACGCTTGAGGCATTTCCTGCACTGCTAGAATTGTACTCTAAGGCAGTAATCAACTATGGATTAAAACTTGCAGGTAAATGCTGTTATCGGGAACCGTATTTGTAATATCAAAGACCTGGGGAAAAGACTAAAGCTCATCAATAAAAGAGCGTTTTGGGCTTTTTTTTTGAAGGTATTTGGTATAGGGTGTTTAAATGAATCAGAGTAGGGGCCAGGGAGATGGCTCAGTGGAATAAACGCTTCCCTGGCAAGCGCAAGGGCCTGAGTTCAATCCCTGGTTCTGCTAACTCAATCAATCAATCAATCAATCAATCAATCAATCAATCAGAGTATGTCCGCACAATGCAATATACACCCCTGGCATCCAGTGGGTAGAGTGGAGATATATACATTATCTCAACTGCTCATTAGAATGAAGCTGAAGGTTTATTCTGATGATGTAGAGAGATGGGCACAACATTAAGTGGAAAATATAAATCATCAAGGGCCAGCCAAATAGCTCAGCAGATTAAAGCACCTACAAGCAGGGGTGGGGGAACCCCTTCTGTGCTGGCCCCGCCCCTGGGGCACACTGCGACTGCAATTGAGACTGGGCAGGGTGGTGTGCCTGTAATCCCAGCTCTTGGGAGGCTGTAAACAAAATAAAACCATGGCATCTTCCCAATTTTATAAAAATACATGTGCAGGGGGAGAAACACTATAAAGATATACACTAAAATTTAGTAATAATTTTTCTCAGGGAAACTTTCTCCTTTATACTTTTCTCTGTTGTCCAATTTCTGTGGCAGTATCAAGTTATGATTTTAAAAACAAAGGTGTTCTTTCCCTCCATTTCTACCTGTTTTCTTTTATTGCCTCTAAGTTTACAGTGTTCCCTTGCACTTCACACTTAAAACAGATTTGCGTTAGCAGATTATCAGAGAGGTCTTCCACGAGAACAGACTTGTCATCTGCTCTGGTAGGTCTCACCTTTCTAAGCTATTTTCCTTTACAGAAAATCTTGGCAAACTGCAAACTTCTGTATAATCTTGCTGTCATTTTAGATCCAGGATTTTAATCCTAGTACTTCCAATTCATTCTAACACAATGAATAATAATAGCATAATCTCTAGAATCCTTGCTACTCAGAAGGCAGTCTCCAGGTCAGCACCTGCAGCTTGAGCAGCTCTGAGAAACTGGTTACAGAGAAATGTGGGGCTCAGCTAACCCAGCCCCAGGGGTTCGGGGCCTGCATTTTCGAAAGACTGCATGCTGTTCCTCGGTGCAGGGAAGTGAGAGAAGCTGCTCTAGGTCCAGGAACCCAACAAATTTCTCCTGAGAACTAAAGAGATAGAAAACATCACCAGCACTGATGCGGGAGCCTGGAAGGGGCAATAGCTTAATGGTAGGGCTGGAGCTTAGCAAGGAGGTGCCCTAGGTTCAAACATAAGAGCCACGTGTTCTGGAGGATGCCAGCTTCAGAATCACATTCAAGTAATTAACAGAATGAATCCAGAGCCACAGGTCACAGGAGATTGTCCCAGAATCAGAGGACAGCCTGATGTCCATCTGACCTGGCTGGTCCTTGTCAGCAGGACCTCTACCATTAGGTAAGTAATTTATACTTATGTACATACATACAAACATATATACATGCAAGTTTACATTTTAGAATCCGTTCAAGAGCCATGATGGAGACCCACTTTGCAAGCTTATTTGGCTTCTCCTTATCTGATGATGTCTTGGGAATTTCCCATGGTTCTCCTGTGGTCCAGGGTGGACCTGGGTGGGGGATGGTGTGTGGTCACTGGGCTTCTTTCTCCCCATTTCCTCCTCCACGGCTCCTGGGCCCTGCCCCAGGGTTACTCTGAACTTAGTCCTGCAGGTGTGAGTCAGCTTCTTAGGTGGACAATCCAGGGTCCTCGGGTAGGGGGCGGCACTGCCCAGGGCGCCCCTGTCACCATAGCCCTGCGCGAGCCTAGGGCTGGGAGGCTGGCCTGCTGCCCTTGGCTATCTGTGGATAGCACACACAGAAGGGCTGCAGTAAGGACTACTGCACGGGGAGGTGACTCGAAATCGGTCAGATCCCTAGTGGACCCTCAGGCACTGAGTCATCCTTCCTAGAGTCCCCTGTCCTCACCCAGCTCTGATCAGATGTCCCCTCTAGCCACCTCTGCCCTAGTAACGCTGCCCTCCTTGCTCAGGTCCCGCTACCTAATAGCCACGACAGCTAGCACCCAGGCAATGCACCAGCATGAGCCTGGCCCCGCTCTTAGGGCTTTACACGTGCTCATTTCATGTCTCGACAGCCCCAGGCGGGAGGCATGACCATCCCCACTGTCCACAGGAGGAAACGGGGGCACAGAGAAGGTGCTTACGTCTCCCGAGACCACAAACCGGTAAGGAACAGAGCTAGGGTTTGAACACAGGCAATGTGGCTTCAGAGCTGTGTGGAGCATGTTATGCCTGCGCAACACCGCGGCGTTCTGTATTCACAGTTCTTCATTACGTGTACAGAAGTGTAAGCGTCGTTTGTCTTCCTTGTTCATGCTGTAGCCTCGACAAGTGTCTAGCACATAGCACCAAGTCACGCTGAATAAATTAGACTAGCAGTGAGCTCTCTCCTCAGGGCCACTCAGCACAAAGTTATAGAATTATTACTTCAAAGAGTTGCCGTGAACAGGGACCAACTAGAGAACTGCAAATTTAGACCTGAGGCAGCTGTTGGGTACAGGGCCCAGGGCACCCACCTGACTCCCTCATGCCATCCTAAGCCAGTGCAGTTCAAGCCTAGCCAGAGGCTGGGCTGTGAGCCTCGGAGATTGCTGGCGAAGCACTGAGATCTGTGAGGTCTTCAGTGGCTCTGGGGTCTGCGTGTGGAGACTTCCCTGTGAGAGCCATTCAGTCAAACATCTGAGGTACAAAGACGAGTACCAGGGCACAAAGGCACATGAGACCCAGTGCTGTGGGAACGCAAAGTCAAGCTCCCTATCAAGAGTACATAAACACCTTACCTCTGACCCTGGTCCTCGAATGAATGAGATTTGGCCAGGCCACAAAATGTTGGGAGGAGGCGAACACCCTTCTTTGGAAGAGCTAATATCTATGTAATTATCTCAGCTTGTTCTTAGTTTGAACAAAAATCTCATTCAAGTTTTGCATATCAGTCTCAGGTTTTATCTTCAAATAGTGCATGAAACTGCTCAGTCAATTTAAGGTAATTATTTAAGTCTTCCAGGAAGATGGTGGAATGGTAAGCACCAGGATTTGGTGTCCAGACATTGGAAGACAGCAGTGAGGGGAAGAGAAGGAGGAGGGAGGTAGGTCTTTGGACCCAGGAAAGATCTGAAGTGAGACTCAGAGTTCATGGAAAGAGATAAGATAAGTATTCAGATGATTCAGTGTTTCCAAATTGAATTTTAATTTAATCTGAAATGTTCTCATAGTTCAGACCATGAAAATAAAACCAGATTGATTTGAAATTCCAATCCTGTATAAAAAGATAATCCAAAAGAATTTCACTTAAGAGAAGGAAAATGTGAAAGTGAATTCAGAGGAAATAACTACTAACTAAAAAATAGTGTGCTGTTTTTTATTTGGAAGATGGAGTGCAAGGCTATTAAGAAAGTCTTTTTTCCAGTCACCACCCACAAAAGTTTTGCTATTCATCAGTAATAAATGGTTCTTCAGTAGTTTCCTGGCTTAAACTGCATTGCTACACCCTGAGCTAGTCAGATGTTTCAAAATCCAACATTTGAAATGGCTTCCAGTTGTTAAAAACTGATTCCATTTTAAGCGAACTTTGCAAAGTTTTGTTTTCACAAAATAGTAAAATAGAATTCATAGTTCGCTGTGGTGGTACATGCCTAGAATTCTAGCACTTGGGCGGCTGAGGCAGGAGGATCACTGTGAGTTTGGTCAGCCTGGGCAACATAGTGAGTTCAAGGCCAGCCTGAACTACGCAGGCTAATAGATAAATAAATAAATAAATAAATAAATAAAGAATGAATAAATAAGCAAGTCGATGCATTAGGAGTCTACACATGCGCAAACACCACGTCTCCTGGCACAAAATTAGGCTTTAGGTTTCTCTATTACCTCATCTGAGGAGGAAGAGAATGCAGACGCCGTGTCCTCTGGGAAGGCTGGAGAATTCATGGGAAGGGAGAGAACTGAGGGGCATTTCCTTTCATCAGTTTTCTCTTTCATGTCTTCAAGTAGCATCTCCAGCTTGAAGATTTTACCTTCCACTTCTCTGAGTAAACAGAAACACAGAGGCACCTTCGGGGCTGCGCGGTCAGGGTGTAGCTAGTGGCGGCAGCCCTTGAATACAGCAGTGGTCCATCTTGTTCTGCAGCAGGCTGCAGACGGGAGGCATGACGGACACCTGGCTGGCGTTCTGGCGACAGTTTCAGCCCTAAGTCCTGAGCTATCCTGTCCATGTGCTGTGCAGTAGCTGTCTGTCCTTTGGTGACTCATTTGTCTTTCTGGGCCTTCTACTACACCCTAGGATGACAATGCCTCGTTTATCTGCATCTCATGATGTTGTGATCTCATTCTAAAAGCTGTGAGTTCATGGAAATAATTGTTATGCAAATTTTGAAGAGACTGAACTTAAAATATATGAATAATTAATGAGCTTCTACCCAACACTCATCTAAATAACTCTCAGTTAAATGGGTAATAAAATGGAAATTAGAGATAATTTATGACTGGACAGTAAGTAGCAAACAATATTTGAAAACCAAAGTAACAAAGTTAAACCAGTGCTTGGGAAAAGTTTATCTCTCTCTCTCTCTCTCTCTCTCTCTCTCTCTCTCTCTCTCTCTCTGCCTCCCCCTCCTTCTCTCTTTCTCTTTTTAAACAGAGATAGGGTTTTATTAGGTTGACAAAATCGCCTTGAATTCTTTGACTCACGTGACCTAATGCCTCAATTTCCTAGACGCTGGGACTACAAGCATGTGCCACTCTTCCAGCCAGCCTGAAGTTTTGTTTGTTTCTCAGTGCTGGAGGTGCAGTCCAGGACCTTGAGCATGACAAGCTGGCTCCATCACTGAGCAGTGTGTGAAGGCACTAATGCCAGGCATGGTGGCGCACCCCTGTAATCCAGCACTTGACAGGCTGAGGCAGGAGGATCCCTGCAAGTTTGAGGCCAGCCTGAACTGTCTAGTGAAACCCTGTCTCAAAAAGACGAAAGAAAGAAAGAAAGAAAGAAAGAAAGAAAGAAAGAAAGAAAGAAAGAAAGAGAGAGAGAGTCATCATTAAGAAAAAAGTTCAAAAATCAATAAGCTACATATTCATAACAAAAAGGCAGGAAAAAGAGTGCTTATAAAATAAATCTAGGAAAATAGAGAAATTATAAAATTAAGCAGAATAAATGAATTTAAAAGAATTTGGTCAATAGAATGAAACATTTTTTCAAAACATCTGTAAGAGAAATTCTGACCAAGAAATATAAATCACATTAGGAATGAGAAAGGAAAAATAACAAGAAAGGAAATTGAAACCAGATGAAACTCAACAGCTTTATGTAACACAGTTTAAAATCCAGGCAAAATAGGCAGGCTTCTAGGAAATACAAATTATTAAACTTTGTTGAAAAAGAGGAAGTAAGAAAACACCAGAAGGAAAAGACCAGGGAAAAGTAGAAAAGGTCATCAAAAAATCTACCCCTGAAAGGCACCAAGTCCAGGTGAGATTATAGGTGTGTTCTACTAAGAATTAGCTTGAAGGGGCTGGAGAGATGGCTCAGTGGTCTAAAGCACCTACTTAGAACAAGCTTAGCAAAAGCATCAGGGACCGCGGTTCAATCCCCCAGCACC